CATAGCTGAGATAACTGGCTGCGGACCGTACATCTCCGTTATCTCCAGTTACCTACGTAAACAGGATGCATGCGACAGCGTTTCGTGTTATCGCGTAGTGATTGCTAGGCGAGGGTTGTCGCTCACCGGCCGTAATAGATTCATTAGGGTAGGCACCACCCCCGGCGCATCGTTGCCCCTGGCTCCGTGCGCACCTACCCTCTTTCATTTTCTGTCACTCGATCACTCATTCGCGTGTAGTATCCGTTACTGACTCATCTACCCGTTCGATCGCGCCGTTACGCAACGATCCGTTCATTCGTACGTCCGTCAGCACCTTCCGTCGTTACCTTTTCTTCTCACGTAGCGTTTAATCATTCCTCTTCATTTCCTCGTTTCTTTTTTTCTCTTCCTTGACGCTTCGATCATTATTTCAGGCTCAACGCGGGGAAGAAAGGTTGCTTGCGCAACGTGACGATAAACGAACGAAAATACGTTTCGACCGAAGGGGACAGAAACTTTGGTCTTTCTAAGAACCAAATTTGGTTTATAAGAACCAGAAATTCTGTCATCCTTCAACGAAAATGCATTTGGTTTGTTTATTATCGCGTTAATTCAATCGATCTTTTCTTTCTTCGTAAAGGTTTCGATAATTGAAGGAATGTCTTTGGAGAAATTTCAGAATTTCAAAAATTTCATTCAGGAAGGATACCTTTGAGTGAGTTTACTTTCCACTCGGTTATCTTGTTCTTTATTGGCGGAAGATAGCAGGAATCGACGCGATGAACGAATCGACGCGATGAACGATAAACGTTCAGAATTTTTTATTCATCGATTACATTTCCTCACTCGCACGTCACACGTGCAATGTACGCGCGCGCATTTTTCAAGCGCTGTATGTGTATAATCCGGTCCAATTTAATCGATTATCAGTCCCGGGCTGTTCCCGCTTTCGTGCACTCGGCCCTCGTCGGATATCTCGAAAATCTAATTATCGATCGGTAATCAATATCGCTGCAATTTGGCGACGCGCCAAAGCGCGGCGTGCCTTTGTGCGTGCGTTCGTGTACGCCGCTCTACGGCCGGCCGTGCTGTCGGCTGCAGTTTTTCTCGCGAGCAAGCGAACGATCGGATTCTCGGCGGGTGAGCAATGCAATTAATTGCGTAGGATGCGGTTTTTAATGACTTTGGTCGGCGAACGTAATTCTCACTTTCCGCGCAACGTAGAAAATTATAAGAATTAAGAGGAATTGATAAGATTTTTCGGATTTCTTCAGTAAACAATTATTCTATTAGATGCCGGGAAAAGTTCGTGCGGATCCTTAGGTGAAAATTGAAACACCCAGTGAATGCAATCTCTTTCTAGTTATAGATTTGTCACAATGAAATACTTGTGCAACGTCTGCACACCCTTTTTGTGGATTTGAACGCACATATCCACGCAGTTCATCATCTTCGATAACAGATGGACGCGGCTTATCCTCTTTCGCGATTCATCATCTTCCTTAAACCACTTAAACCATTTTGGTGCTATCCTTTCGCTAACAGTGCCTTCGTTGCATACGTTATAAATGCGTCTCGCTGCATTTGCTGCTGTATTTCCAAGTTTAAAGTCCTCGTAAAGCAAGAAAGCACGAACATTTAATTTTTCGCTATCCATCTTTAATCTCACATAAACACCGGAATGTTGAAACAATCGAATGCTGTACATCATGTATATCAACGATATAAATGTAACTTTCTGTTGATACCAACTTCATTATTCGCATTACACGTGCGAATTACTGACTGGAATCTGACTTCAATTCATCGCCAAGAAGGAAACCGCTCGAACTTTTTCCGGCGCCTAATAGGAAATAGGGAAATATTTTATATATCTTGACGTTTCTATATTCATTGTTGTTATACTCAGGTTGCTTGAAATATTGAGCCTGACACAAATAACGTTCGCTTGCTCATTTCGCCGTGTTTTAATGTATTCCTTTTCCCCAAGTTTTAATCCTGCATCTTGCCCGAGTTACACGAACGAAACAGATGCAAATACATATTCATGTTTCCTTCGATTTCGCTTCCACGGGGCTGTTCTTCATTCTGCATTTTTATTTCCTGAGAATCGCGCTCCCCTATTTCTCTCGGCATACCTCTCTCTGATATAATTTTATCGCGATATTACAGCAACTCCGTGCGGCTGAGGCAATATCACGTTTTCTCGTTAGCATTTCTTTCGCTCTTTCTCTCCCGGGCCGTAACGCGGTATTGTGTTTTCTTCATTATTAATCCTGCTGATCAGTCGCTCTACATCCTGACGCGCGGCACTACACTCCCTTTTGTTTCTTCCTCGCTGGAATGTTGAAAAAGTTTAACCGGTAGAAAGTTTCATCGAAAGTCAGCAAGAAAGTAGCTTCAGGTGAAAAGAAGAGATAATGGATCCCCGCTTCCGTTTTTCATCCCCTTGCGCACGGTGGGTCATCAGTTGCCTCCCGCGATCCTCTCTTCTTTGTGAAAGTTTGAATACGTAGACAACGTCTGGTTTCGCAGGGACCATTTCTTCTGGAACCCCGTACCGGTGCTCCTCCGTCGTTTGTCATTCGCTGCCAAGAGTGCGCCGCGAATTCAACGGAGAATCGAAAAGGAATCGCCCGCGACTCGTTCCCGGTTTTGCGGCGGCGCAGGCGGGCCGTGCAATAATTTGCCGGATTCATTGTCCGGGAATTAATTCCCCATTTCGCGCTTCGCGAATACCCGCTGACATTCCTTTGTGTTCGACTATGGAAAATGAAGTTTAAACCCTCTGGTGATGAGCGAAATGCGCCGGAAATCGGAGATACCCTGCCGTCCTGTCGTTTCCTTTAACGATTTTATCTGACGTGCATTGCATGAGAATACGAGGCGTACACAGAGAAAAAGGTTTCTTTGATTTAGTACTATTTATTTGACTAAAATTTGTTTCGTAGAAATAACATATACGAAATATTATTTGTTTGAGTAAAAATTTCATTGTCTCATTCAAGAAAATTCCACTATTTAACAGAAAAGATGTTATTATTCGGAACAATATCTTTTAACCAAGTAAAATATTATTTGGTTACAATAAATATGTAAAATGAAGCAAATAATTTCTTTGTAAGAAAATTATCTTTCGTTTCAAACAAATTTTTTATTTAAGATAAAGATATATATTCGTTGGAAAGTCTAAGAATCGTATTTAATCGGAGCATTAGTTTCTTTTGAAGCATGCCAATGATAAAATTTGTTTGGATGCAATAAAATTTATTAAATTTGAAGAAATCTTTTTCTCAGTGTACGCACATTCTAATTCTTCACATTCACATTCTTGAAATCGCAGATTCCCCTCCTGTTATTTCTATATAAATATAAATCAATAAGTTCTAAGTTTCAAGTCTGTTCTATTTCACTAAACTGCATTAGCTTATACTAGTTTTTCATTCTCTTTCTCCCACCAAGTCCCAACTATATCTCTCTGTTTAAGCTCTACAAGTGCATATTAATTTAGCGAAAAAAAAAACAAACTTAATAATTTTATTGTAAGCTCGAGCACCCGTTCGCAATTATGCGGAATTTCGAAACCGGGCTTGACGAACTCGGAATTATTCGCTTAAAATACATTCGACACACATACACACAAGCACATACACACCTCTGACAGCCGCAAAATGTTTATTACATTATAATAAAAGCGTGATACCCTTGGTCTGGAAAATCGAATTATATCACGCGAAATCGTTAACCGAGCTTCGATAAATAACTCATGGATATTAATAAAGTTCAACGTGTCGCGCGCGCGTGCTCGGCGAGATAAATGCGCTCAAAGCGTAATCCATATTGCTAAATAATTACATACACGTTGTACACGTACCATAATTACTCATATTCCGCGCGGAGATCGATCGAAAACAAATTAGCCCGGCGACAAAGAGACGTGCAAAGACCACCTATTGCACTCCGCGAGCGGTCGATATCCGCATCCTGATACCGCAGGGCCTTTGTGTCTGGTCGAGCAGTGACGGCTCCGGACGACGCGATAGTTCCAGCGCGGGTTCCGATAATCATTTTTTTCTCTGGCTTTCGATAAGTTCGTCCGTATAGCCGCGACGGCGGTCTCTGTCACAAGCAGCGCCGGCATGGTTTACGGTCGCGTCTCGCCACCTCTCTCCCTTGGAAGGGAGGGAACGAGGAAGGATTTCAGCGGGGCCCTCCGGCCAAGCATAATGCGCCCATTATCTCCAGTCCTTTCGTCTATTCCGCATGTGTACTCTGCCTATATAACGTACCGGGTGTCCGCGTAATTTTGCGCCTCCTCCATTTGCTCGATCCTTCTCTCTCTCTCTCTCTCTTTCTTTCTCCCTCCCTCGTTTGCTCCCGCCTCCTTCTTTGCTGTCGCGAATGGCCATGACACGATCGTAAAGCCTAAAGAGGCATTAGATGATGCTTGAACGGGTCGACGAATACGAAGAGGATGGAAAGGGGTGGCTGACGTTGGGGTGGAGCAGGATAGGACGTCTCGCGTCAGGCGAGAGGAGGCCAGGAACCATTACGGTAATATCCCACGGACGGAGGAAGTGATTTTTAAGGAGACGAGGCCGCCATTTCAAGGCAATTTCGCCTTCCCCGTGAGCTTTTTCGTTCTCGTTCTGCGGCGGCCCAAGCCCTTCCCTCGTGCTTCTCCTTACAACAAGACGATTATGAAAATTTCGCGCCGTTTTCGGGATCCTCGTCCCCGCGAGAGAGCGGGGCTTTGTACAGCCCGAGACATCCTTTCACGCGTAAATCTTTCGGATTCTGCCTTCACGGCCGATGAATTCCTTGCCACCTCTGTCATGATAAGTCGTAATACCTCAGAACATCCAGGATATATTCTTTCTCTCATGTAATATAATCGATGAAAATTACATGAGTAGTTTATCACGACTGTTCTTCCGCGAAAAAGTTTTACCATACGTTCTAAAATTACGACGATTGACGCTAACGTCTGCGTTAACGATTTCGATCGATTTTCTCAGACCCGTCGGCATCCGGCTCGTCCTGCGAGGACGACGAGGAAGGTCGGCTCGTCAGCATCAGGAAACGGAAGAACAGTCTCTACGCATCTTCCTCAACCCGAGTTCCGTCGGCGGATCGGGATACCTTAACTTCGACCGACGGCTTGCTCGTAGATTGCGTCGCTCTCGTACATCTGACCGATCAGTCGCCGACTGAGTCCAATCAACCGGTGCGTCATCCATCGCCGTATTACTACGGCGATCTCTTCAAGGTCCCGGAACAATTGCCCGCCAGGTCCCAACCGAGCAAGTATCGCAAGAGCGTCAGTCTCGATGTGCCGGGCGAGCGTTCGCGCACACCCGGTATACCGAAGAGGAACTCGGTAGCGGGTGATGGGGGCTCTTACTCGTCTCAGCAACGGCACTATCAGCAGCAACAACAGCCGCCGCCGCCACCGCCGCACTATCAGAGCCAGGATCTAGTGAGCCCCACGTCTGGGAGCGAGCATGCTGTCCCGGCCAGAAGCGAGATCCTCTCGTCGTGCATCATCACCGAGTGGGATCACACCCTCATGCCTCCTCATAGGCTGTTGAGCCATGATCTGCCTACCGCCGTTTGTACCTGCATCGCATCGCCCGAGGAGGAGGAGGAGGATGAGCTAGACCGCCGGCAGCCGCAAGTAGCGCGGCACCAAGTGCGCAAGCTACGACGTACGCGGAGGATAGACCCGCAGCCGATACTCGTCGAGGACGAGGACGACGTGGAGGGTGAGGACGAGGGTGAGGAAGAGGAGGAGGAAGACGCGGAGCCCGAGGAGGACGAGGAAGGGATGGCTAGGCAACGTCACCTCTATGAGACGGCCTTCGACTGCAAGGTCAATCGCTCCGACGATGATCTCGACGATCTCGATCGTGTTACCAACCATCCGGTGTTGCACTCCCAGGTATGTCGAGTCGGGGGGTTTCTAAACGTGCGGCAAATTTCGTGATACAGAGTTTGTAAAAAATACAAATTATTTTTAGGTACATAATATCAAATTAATTGGTTCATTTTATAATATCGATTAATAAGTAGTTGCGTTTTTAAAAGGACAAATATAAAAACGTTTTAGTTACTGACGCAAAACCATGTGAAAATAAAAAAAAATGTTGCAAATTGGACAACCACGCGCATCCATATTTATAAGTTATGCCATCTGAAGTAACGTTTCACGGCCTTTATTTCTCCCCTCTCTGACATCCTAGATCGTCACGCAAGCTAATATACTCCCTCTCTCCCCTCGTGGTGTGACGTAATTGTTGAATGACTCCTTAAGTTCGTTTCACTCAGTATCTCGCTCAGGGGAGTTTATGGGTCCTGCATTTGCATTTGCGTGAAAAACAAATTTCGCCGACGCAGATGCGGAGCAGCAGCGCTGTGTTATCGAGCAGAACGAGTTCGTCGACGGACGCGTCGAAGCAGCAACATCAGCAATCGCTTCCTTACGCCGGCCAGTCGCAATCAAGCAAGGACCATCGACGTAAAGTCGTACTTCTCCGCCCAAAACCGATTCCGAGCCGCCTACAGCAGCAACAGCAGCAATCGCAGCAACAAGCAGACAATATATGCACTCTGTCCCAGGATATCGAGTCCCTCCAGATCAACTCGAGCGACGAGAAAACCGGCTCGCCGAGACTACCAGCTCGCGACTACACGCCGTCGCCACCATCTACCGCGCCGTTACCGGCGAAATTTCACGGCAACCGTGACCACTTGCTGCTGAACATCCGCAGCGCGCCGAACCTACCGTCGCAGCCGGACCATCCCCGGCTGAAGGACATGAGACTACCCATGAAGTCGTTGCGCGCTAAGGACTCGCCGCAGAGCAGCGAAGGCAGCATTCTCGAGATCAAGAGCCGGCCGAAGAGCTTCGTCCAGGAGAACTCCTCGCAGGGACGTCGGTTCGACAAGGAGCTCATCTTGGAGTTCAAGGGTAGGCCTCGGGAGGAGCGGCAACGACCCCGCAGCCTGATCCGCGAGAGTAGGCCGGTAATGGAGTTCAAGGGCAGGCCTCACGAGGCGGAGGGCGAGGTGGCGCGAAGGGACGCCGGCCCGTTGGAGTTCAAGCTGCGCACGTCGAGACGCCGCGCCGGCTACTCCAGCACCGAGAGCATGGCGACCAGCAGCAGCGGCGGCAGCATGGAATCCCTGCGGAGCAGCACCAGCGAGGGCAACCGGTCGACCAGCAGCTCCGAGAGTCGGCACAGCACCAGCCTGAGCTCGCACAGTTCCGACAGCGGCGGCACCAACTGCTACCATCACCATCAACAGCCGTCGTTACCCGGTTTCCTGACTCATCACGCCACCAAGTTGCACATCCTCTCGCCTATCTCCGACAAGTCGTCGCAGGAGCCCGCCTCGGAGACCTCCGACAACAATCGCAACAACAACTCGCAGAAGGCCTCGCCCGAGGAGAGCGTCACGTTGGAGAACAACGTCACCGCGGGCAACAATACGAACGCGGTCACCTCGCCCATGGACACGTCCTTCAAGAAGAGGCGAGCCCCGCAGAACAAGAATCTCATTAATCTGGCCCTGCAGTCGTCGTCGTCGGGCGACGCGGAGATCCAAGGCTCGGACAGCGGCATTTCCATCGAGTCCCGCGCCGGGATCAAGCCCTTCGGCTTCCACCTGCTGAAGCCGCAGTTGGACAATATCAACTTCGTCGACAACGAGCCGGAGCTCTCGGATCTACCCTTCGATATGCCGAAGCTGCGCAGAAGACGTCTGCTGATGCAACAGGACGCCACTACGTCCGGCAGCGCGACCAGCGTAGATCTGAGAGACCTGCCGTTCGACATGCCGAAACTCAGGAAACGACTCAGATGCACCCAGAGCACCGAGTCCAGCGCGTCCCAGGCGTCCTCCAGTCTCTCCGTGCGCGACGTGGAGCCGCCTCCTCTCTTCGGTGAGTTTGATCCCTTCATTTTCCTGATTTCACGCACTTTTTATATTACGTTCGCTCAGGTTGGAATCTTCGCGTCGCGGAAGTACGAGGATCGCCGCTCAAAGGTTGGCGAGCTCGAGCACGAAGCTTTACATCGAAATTCCTTTTCGAGAGCGATTAACGTTAATGGGAAGCCACGGGGAGCTCCGTGTTCAGTTTCCTCTTTAATCGAGCCTCTAGCCATTAAAACGATAAAAACCGTACTTTCGGCACTTCGAGGCGAGCTAAGTACTCATCAGCGAGCGAGGGGGCAACCGTAATTTGACGCTGATCGTTATGAACCTTCCAGACAACGGCTAACATCGTTAAGCTTCACTTAGCTGCTCCCGGCGATATATTTACTATAAACACACGTGTCGATGGTGGACCTTAACGGTGGATACACGCGTGCCCATTGTTGTATGCCGTTTCCTATTTGATTATTCCAGCGCGGATGTCGATAATTGGATATACATGAATCAACTGAAGCGATCACAAGTAACTCGCCGCGCACAGGTCGGGCGATTTCAATGTTAAATACGTTTAACACGGCAAAATGAAAGCAATTCCTCCGTCACTCCGATAAATCGCCGATATTCGTGCGATGTGACAATTAGAGCGCGAGCGGTAATTGCGGGCCGACGCTGCGGCGGCTACAATGTATCAAGTGGTATCGAAGTAGCCAGCAATGTGTAATTTAGATCGCATTAATATCGTTCGAATCACACGACATCGATAATTTATCGCCGGCGAGTGAATCTGATGCGAGACCGCACGCAGTGCAGCGCGAAGCGTTCGGAATTAGTCGGGTGATTAAGCCGCCGTCGCCGCAACCCTCCTCCTATTTTCCCCCGAAGCTCTGTCGTCCGAGCTGATGGGAGTTTGAACGCACGTCGTCTACCCTCCGAGTTCCGAAATTGCGAGAGCTCTAATGCGAGAGCTTCGCAGAACGAGCTTCCCGCGCCGCGTACTGCCTACGGCCTGCGAAACCTGCGACCTGCTTGTGTTGCCGACCTGGTGGGGAGGGGGACGGTAAATGCCGCTGGACGAAGGTTAGGCTACGGAGCAACCTGGCCAGTAAGCGAGAAGAGGAACGGCGACAGGGAGAGAGCAGCCAACTATTTTTATCGGTCGGTCGAATGTCAATAAAGGCACGGGATGCCCTGCAAATCCGTTTTGCCCCGAGTTACGGGGTCCTTGGGAGCCGCTCTTTCTCTCTTGGCTTGGGGAAAACGAATGGCGAACGGCGGCGGCGGTAGCGACGACTACGAGTGACTCCTCGTACCGTGAAATACGCCGACGCGGATTTATTTAATCAATTACGGGCCCCCGGCCTCTCTAAAGCACGGCTCGCTCTGTGTCGTTGCTCGGGTGATTTAATGCGCGGCGATTATCGCCCGCCGGCCTCGCCGAGTATTGGTGTTTGCAGAACGAATTATTACTATTTTTGCCCAGTTATCCGATCTGCTCCCCGAATATCGCGCGCGAAATATTTCGGGGAAAATTCGGAGGAGCGCATTCGAGATATCTCGGGAAAATAGTCCGAATATTGCCAATTGAATCGGAGTTACTTCGCATTTGATTTCTCTCTCTCTCTTTCTCTCTCTCTTTAACGAATGCGGCAGAGTGAGATAATTCGATAGTTTGCCGAATTGATCTTTTTTCCATAGCACGGTTTTGCTTGTCACGTGGTATGGTGATCGGGCAGAATTCGGCCTATCGATGATACGCCGGATGTCGATGTAAAAACAAATTGAGAACGAAGTGCGCAGCGCACTCGACGATACCGCTGATAAAAGCCCCGGCCGCGTCATTCAGTCCGGATCGCTCTTTGAGCAGCTCGTACGTCGAAAATATGAATAAATAGTCGGTGGGAAGTTTAATCAACACGTGCTGGTAAATACGTGAATACACCGTGCACGCCGGTCGTCGGTCGCGCTTCCGCTTGCCAGATAACGAAAGTGTAGTAGTTGTCACGCCGCGCCGATGCGACCGGCTACTTCGATCGCGGCTGGCCGAACATTCGCACGTGTTTCACGGATTTTTCGCATTTTTCGTCGCTGAATTGTACGAGAGGCGCGCACAATAAAACTCTCGCGATTTCGCGCAGCCACGGGCACGCTTTAACGACGGGGAAAATCGTGTATTCGCGCGAAACACGCGATTGTAAAGCGTACGTCGGCGGGCTTTTTGAAATTTAATGAACTCGCGCGGTCAAGTCTCTGAAATAAAATCCAAAGTTGCAGCGTGTTGCACGGGAGAAAAAGTAAATAGTCGAAGTATTTTATTTATCGGCCTGCAAATTATGCGGAACGCGCGTTCTCCCGGCAATATCCCGCGTCCCGCGATTTGGCAGTCAGCTGCGTGCGAATTCGGATCCGGTAATATTTTTTCCGGTTGATGGATGCCGGTCGGCCGGATTCGTAAATTACCTTTTGAAGAGGGTGAGAGAAGGGGAACGCGAGGGAACGAGATGACGAGTGCGTTAGCACGTGATCAGGAGCAGATTTCTCCAAAAGATATACGCTTTTTATGCGTTTAGTTGTCGACAATTACTTTTCGCTAGCGCGGAGGCTCAACGGGAGGGCTGATCGATCGATTTCCTCGTTCTCGGCTATCGCACATGGCTAGCGAATCGTTTTATCAGTACGTCGCTGCGAATAGGTCGTCGATCAAGATAAGCCATCTTGAGCGATGAGACGATTTAGTTTTTACCGGCCGGCGGTACTTTTCCGTTTCCCGGTACGATTGATATTATTGTTACTTTGCTAGTTATACTAGTATTGGCAATTTAATCGAGTGACATTGCTTATATATTTTTTATCAACATAATGAAGTTTAACTCTTTCCTTCTTATGTACGACGTGACTCTGTTAACGCTTCGATGCATCAGACTGCCCAGTCTGCATAGAGCACGTCTTTATCTACTTCGAAGACAAATGACGATTTGATTTTTATTTTCAATAAAAATAATCGAATTCTTTCTTTTACGTATATGACGTGACTCTCTATTAATGTTTAGTGCGTCTTGCTGTCTAGGCTGTGTAGTGCGTGTCTGTTTGAAGACGAATAACAATGTGCGACGCATCGACCGGAGACAACGAATCCAGACCGATATTTCCTTCGACGCATCCTTTTTTACATTTCAGCCGCGTTGACGGCCAACCCTCGGAAAGGGAACAGTTTGCGCATTGTGCTTTCAGACAAAAGCCATCGGCTTGCGTCCGTCTACAATGTGTTGGAGAGAGTAGCGACGGATAGAGTGTAGCGCCTAAAGCCGGTGCTTCGGTTCGCGTTGCAGAACGCCCACACGGTGGGTTCACGTGCACTCTCATACAACAGTGTCGATGTGTGGGCGCACGTGTGTCACCAGGAAGATAGCACGGGGTATTGAAAGTATCGGAAATATTACGCCCTACTTGCGACAAGTTTGCATTGTCCCTTTTCCGATCGGCTCTTTTAAACTTCATCGGAGATGGCCTCTTCGATGACGTGACACTACCACGCTTGCTGAATGAATCGGATAAAATGTTATTAATCGAGGGATTGACGCCACCTCGGGAAATCGAACAAAAATTAAATCGTTTCTCGTCCTCTCTCTCGCGCGCGTTTTAGCGCGGAGGAGATGCGTTAAACGGATCTCGCGCGACTCACGTGGATATTACGGTTAGATCGCTCGTGAGTTCAGCACCGATGCCGAAAAGAAATGGATAGGACTCGCAATCTCGGAGGATCCGATATCTGTCTCTAGGCCGTTTAATGGCCGACAACGCGCGAACTCCGCTCGCTGGTGGCGATCGTTAACGGGGTGGAGATGAGGGAGGAGAGAAGCAAAAAAGCGCATCGACGCGGTGATATCTGGCTCGGTCCACCTCGGTGGTTATATGGGGAAAGGTTTGGCTTGACGGCAGAGGAAGGGTACACAAGACTTCTTCCGGGTGTTTACGACTAAAGTTGCCGAGTGTAACTTACATCGGCGTCTTTGTTTTGCGCGACGCGACGCACTCTCTTTCATTCTACTTTCATTCGGCTGTCGTCGAGGAAGTTTCGCGCACGTAACAAAAGATCCATGCGTATTTGCTCGCTCCGAGTGAACGACTTGTTTTTATCTCTTCGGGGCAGATCTTTTCGGGGAGGGAGGGGAGGGGGGAGGGAAAAATTGATACCTCGGAGAAAATCCTTCGATTTGATTGTAAGCACGAAACGGAGCAGATTCGGGAGATTACGTTCTGAGAGAATTGGCTTCCCATAACGAAGAGATATACCTTCAATGTTTTCGTTACTTTATTTTGCCGAATCTCGTAATACGCCAGATCGAGGCGAATAAGAACGGACCTTATCTAAACCGTAAATGCTACGTACAAATTGTGAGGCAGACATCACCGATCGAGATTTCGTCCTCGCACGTTTTCACTTGATAGTTCAACGCGACCCCGAACGGTTCATCGCGAACCGCCCTGTTTACTCCTTCTCCCAAGGAAGGATCCGCAATTTCGCTATAGCTATTCATACACACTAACCACGTACGATTTAGTCAACATCGCACATTCGGTCTACTGACCATTTGGTAGTTGGCCAAACTAACGTACAAATAACCGTGCTTAGGGACTTCGTTTGGAAGCGTCGTCAGTTACCAGCAAAAAGAATTTCAGCGAGTCTTGCGGATGCTGCCAACGTTGCGATTATAATTTTGAAATAACTCGTTAGTTTAAATAAAATACCAGCTAAATTATTACCGTGTTTATTAGTAGCGAAAGATCGTGTAATTACGAACTGCTTCAGTCAGAGCGACGGTGTACAAAGCTAACGAAGCAAAATTGAAATATCGCAGAGGGCGCGACCAGCTCTAATTTTCATGGCTTTTTTGCGGACGTAGATTATTCACGAGTATCTCCGTTGCCGACGAATTTTTGCAGTTCGTGAATTTTAGAAGAGCCTGGCGGATTGCATGCGCCACAGTACGCTCTGTTTCAAAATTCACGGACGGGCGAGAGCGGATTTTGCATGAATACGGGCGACATTCGAAATGTATACATTAAACTTTATACGATGACTAGAGCGGAGTTGCGTTTAAACACAGTTTTACGCTTTGCCGGTTGAGAATCCCAGCCACGTACCGTCCGCTTAATGTCACCATCGCGCCGCGCGACTGTCGTTCGCTGTTCTCCATTTGGTGCCGATCCAAAAGGCCACTGCGACGCGAGCCGTCATTCGTCCGACCATTCGTGAAATTTCCTACCGGCTAAGTTTTTTTAACGAGTGGCATTGCAGCAATTTAATTGTTACGCTTGACGGGACACGCGAAGATGGCGATAACTGGGTTAAATTACTCGCGCGCGGCTTACCGTTGAAATTTCTCGCACTCTTGCGCTTACGATTTTTTACGCAAATTTCACTTGTTGTTCTGAATAATTGGACTACCAACGTTACACACGCGTGCAGCTTTACCGTCCCGGCCAGCTCATTTAGTTCCTCTTGTTCGTGATTAATTCAACGGTTACGTTTCCGATGTCAGTTGGAATACGCAACTGTTTTCGTCGTTCTTCCGCAACGATTATTCTATTAGCTTCTCTTTAAGGAGGAATCAACGATCACGCGTCCGACCTTTAGGGTGCTCGCTGCCGTCGGCAAACGAGGGCAAAGATCAGATATCAAACGCTACGGAGGACCAGTCAATAACTAACCGTGTAACGCCATTATCCGCTAGACTTCCATCGAAATCTTCAATAATTTCCGGTCCTGCTGCCTCGGGAGACTGACACTTTGTTGCTGGGTACACGCGATTACGCTCCTGATGGATGAAGTTTACGACTGTACAAATTTATTTTCAGATAATACCAACAAGTATCGCATCGTTATGGGGTAGATTTCTTTAAGATATGTACTTCATTACCATCTTCGTAACCATTTCTATCATGAAGATAGAACAATTAACCTTCATATTTCGAAATTCTCTATTAATTCTTCAAGCTCAATAGTATTTACGAGACACGTGTGGAACAAAAATTTCGACTCGGAATCTAGCTTCGACATGATTTCAACATACGAAGCAGCTGTCGCCGGCTAAAAAACTATCAGCTATGCCTTCGGATATACAAAACGTCAAGAAACGCTGCTCATTTAATCGCACGTTCGTCAATCTTGCGACTGTCTCAGCTGTGCGACTCCTTGAGACGTCACTTATTTGCGCTGTTTCCGAGTGACTTTATATTTTCATGGATGCATGAAATCCCGAGTATAGAATATATATATATGTGAAAGTCCCAGGGAGATCTAAAAGTTGTTTCGTAAATAATGAATGTTACTACGACCGGCACGATGGACCAAAGTATCGGTTATATCTCCGGACAAATTGTAGGAGAACTATCCGAATCGTTCGGCGGGAACGTTCGGCGTGCGCCTATCGTGCTTCATATTTCATGAGGATCGAGTACGTATCAAGCATTCCGAGCAGGTTCGAAGTGTTTGCCGCCGCGTCGATAAGGGCCCGTCGACGGAGGGATAGAGGCGCTCAAGGGCGTGTAACTGCAACATCTGTTGGCGGTGATCTCCGGCCTATCCGGCCGTTTCGCATCTGTTGTTCGGGCATTTCGGCACCGTCGCGAAATTTCCTCGAGGGCTGAACGAAATCGCCGCGTAACAACGCTAAGCGGGTCAAGACGGTCGAGACGCGCGGCGTCTCGGGATCGCGGAATCATCGTGACTGGCGTCGCTCGCGAGATCTTGCCCGGCCATAAAATCCCCCCCCCCCCCC